TCAACAAAAGGAGCATTAAAGTACCAGTACTGGCTCTGGACATCGCTGAAAGAGAGAAGTGGCCAAAGCTCTGCCTCTATTCTGATTTATGGATGGTAGCTAATGCTCTGTGAGGATGGCTGGAGAAGTGGAAAAAGGCTAATTTTCAGACATAGAGGAAAACTAGCTGCTCCTCTCAGAAAAAATCACTTCCATAGGTTGTCTTTAGTGCCAAACCAGCTCAAGGGACCATGGAAAACAGCTCCTAGAACTGTTGCTCCTTCCAGAATGTCCCCTTCCTTCAAGGGGAAGGTCCTTCTACACAGCAAGGGGAAAGGTCATCCCTTCTCCCACTCCCCAGCCCACTTGAAAAAACAATCCCAGCCTATCCACAGACACTGCAGAGACTGCCACAAGAACCCCCGGGGAGGTGAGAACAAGGATTCAAGGCCAGTGAGGCTGGAAGTGTCATTTTAGGGAACTTTGGCCATAAAAAGCAAGGGTTGCACGTGTCTGTGCTCATCAACTCCACCCTACAATATTCCCATCATTAAGGCTGAGCTGCTCATCCGGGTTCCACTGTCAGAGATGCTACAGAAAATCCTGCCAGTCATCCTTCCTTGTTTCAGGAAACAAAAATTCCAACTCAGCTGCCTAGGGATGAGGAACCCCTGAGGGTCTATGGATACATCGTTCTCTGTGTGAGCAAAACTCTCCCGTCAAGTTACAAACAAAGGACTCTTAAGAGGAAAAAAACCTCAACTAAGCAGCCAAACTAAACCCGAAATTCAACAGAAATCCCACAGACATTCCATAGATAAAATTAAATTTCAGGGCAACCCACTCTCATTGGTTCACCATTTCTGGCCTAGCATAAGCAGACTGTCCCCAGGCCTGTCCCACGTGGAGCTCAGCTGGGCCTCAGGGTTTGCTCAGGGACACTTCCAGAAGCCCCAGGGAGGTGACAGATCCCACCCATGGGAACATGGAGTTCTTATTGCTACAGAGCAGCAGTGTCAGGTCTGACACAGGCACGGGGCTCAGCCCGTGGTTCTGGGCATTCCCGAGCGATCCCAGGGATCCAAGGTCATGGTGTAGCACAGAAAAAGCTCAGCAGAAGCAGCAAGACACTGAACACTCCCCCCATGTCAGCCTGACAGGACATTTACTCTGGGACTGGCGGCTTCCCCTCTGCTGCCTCCTCCTTGATGGAACCTGGCTGGTGGAGGTACTGAGAGCTGGCAAGGGCTTGGTGCTGGTGACGAGTGGGAGGATGGAGAGGAAAAGGCTCTGTGAACCCTCCTGGAGGGGTCTGGGCAGGAACCTGGCACTTCCCACCCCCACACCCAGTTCCTTTTCTCTTGGCAAGATCCAGCCTCGGTCTCATGGAGTGAGCTCCACTCTGCAGCCTTGTCCTCAGTGACAGGGTTCAAAACACATTCCCCTCACAGACTTCTCCCAGAGGAACAGAGTTCTCCTCCCTGAAGAGGTTTCCTAGAATCTGCCATTACTCCTAATTACTCCATAGGGAACAGCTTGTCCCTTCCTGTGTGAATGCTCACAGGAGCTCCTGCCTCTCCCTTGGCTGAGAGGTGCCATTAGAGATCTAAGCCTTTCTTCAGCACAAAGCACCTCCCTGGCTGCTCTTTTAATGTCTTTTGATTCATCAGTAAGATGGTGCTGCCTAGAAATGCCCAGGGCACTGTGGGAGCAAGCAGGAGTTTCCAGTCTCCTGTCCTATGCTCACCATGGCCAGAGTGGAACTGGGCCCTTTGAGCAGACTCAGCCACCAACACAAACATTTTTGGTAATTCATGCCAAACCTTGTGGGTTATTGCAGACAGTTGGAGAAAAACCACCCAACCCACCTGAGCTATCTCACTGAACACTCCAACGCCACCGTTTAGAGCTCAAGTTATTTCCAGAAGTGTCTCCCTTCTATTTTCAGTCATTCCCAACTTATGAGAGCATCTGCTACAAATTCATTTGCAAAATTCACATAAGGGTCATGACTCCCTGAGCTGCTGCTGGACATCATCTCTGCCCAGCAAGCACAGATAAACCAGTGCAGGTGGTTTGTGTGGACATTTAAACCAGTTCAGCTCAAAGTTAAACTGGCTTAACGAGCAATGAACAAACAACCAAGTCAGACAAAACCTGAACCCACAGTCGGCTTTGACAGAAAGTTTTGCAGAGTGCACCAGTTCAAAGCCAGCCAAAGCAGTTTCCTTAGCACAGCCAGAGAGCTTTGACCGAAAGGGAAGTTCACCTCCACCTCAATTCAACCCAGGTGCAAGAGACCAAGTCCGTCCTGCAAGCCAAACACAACCACTGCCTATTGAGAGACACAGGAGACAAATCCTTCCTGACCTGGCTGCTGCACCCACACAGAAACCACCTCCTGAAGAGCTCTGCCTCTGTCCCACTCTCTTCAGTAACAAGGATGCTCAGACAGGCCCCTCTCACCTGGAGTTCACCTGGTGGTGCTTGTTCCCCACCTGAAGGTCAGAACGCTTCCAAAGTAAACTGTGAAGCCAGGAAGAGAAGTCTGCAAGGTCAGGCACAGTCAACTGCAGGAACAGGTGGAGGCCTGGAGGCCACACACCATTCCTGCATCCTGACACATTTCACAAGGGAGATTAAAGGAAACCAACAAGCAGAAGGCAAATTCCCAACATGAGGATGATCCCAGTTCTGAGGACTTCTCTCAGCTCAGAGGGAGCAGAACCTCACGACAGCCCTGGCCAAACTCAGAGCCTCTCCTGTGCAGTCTCCCAGCCCAGGACCAGCAGTGCTCCCTACAACATCCCGGCTCCTCTGCACGTCCAAGGCATCACAGAGCAGGAACAGAGCACCGTGGCTTGGAGCAACCTGGCAAACAAGAGCTTCCAAATTTCAGACCTTGGTAAAGTATTTTTGCTCCCTAGAATGTGAATTCAAGCCTTGAAGAAGGAAGTAGGAAGAGGAGCAAAAGCTTGACATTTAAGGTAAATGCAAGGCTACAGATGTGCTTCACTGCTTTTACTGAGGCCTAAGTGACCCAGAGAGAGCCTGGAACAGACCCAGCTCAAACAGCTCCTCTGAGCTGAGCACTCTGCAAACATATGCAAGAGTCAGGAAAAGCTGCACCTTCCTCCAGCAAGTCTCTGGAGAAGGGGCTGTCCAAGCAGCCTCTCCTCACCACCTCTGAGAATGCTCCATTTTAGGCGCTGAGGTTTTCTCTTCCTTTTCCAGCTGTTGAGTTTTTAAGTCTTTGGGAAAATCTCATCCACCCAACATCACTGCTTAACACCCATCATTGGTGCAACTACAACTGAAGTTACCTCAGAGGGGCAGTTTTTGGGATGGGGGACAGGGCCAGTCCATCCCTCCCTTTGGTCAGCACCACAATTAAAGCCCAGCTCTGGTGCCAAACCCACAGTGTGAGAAGGGAAAGGGGAGGTGGGATGGGAGGTAGAGGTGGCTGTGGCTTCCTGCCTGCATGCTCTCAGTCCACACCACAGTCCTGCTCACTGCTGGGCACAAATCCCTGCAGTTTGCCCATTCTCGATTCCAGGGATTTACAGCTGTGCTAACTCTGTCTTGCCCACTTCCCACCCTCAATGCCTCGCACAGAAAACACGAGCCTGAGTTTGCAAATTCCACACAGATCATCTAAGTGTCCCTTAGCAAAGGAGGGCTGGGGTTGGAGCTGTCTTTCCAAAGGAATGCATGGGCTTTGCATGCTCCCCTGAGCATCAAAGAGTTCTCAGGGTCTCAGGTGAACCACACAGACAGGTGTAACGTGCCATTAGGAGAAGGAGCTGCCAATCCTGATCCCTGTGCCACCAGCTGAGCTGTGTGGTACCCTCTGTGCCCACAGCTAATCCTGTTTGGGGAACATGCACCAGCCAAGTTTTCCTGCTGTCAGGTACCAGTGGGCCCAGCACACATCTCACTCACTCAGGGTTCATTTTTGTCAGTCACAGGTTTCTCCTGACCTGCAAAGTGCTGTGCTACCAGGGGCATGCAGGATTTGTACAGGAGAAAACAAAACCAGCAAGAAGGAAAGCTGGCCCTACAAGCAACCCCTCCATCAGCCACTGCCAGGAAAATCAGGAGTCCAAGAGCCTCTGCTTTGGCAGCTCCCGTTCATGTGGCAGGCTGTGTGCTTTAGGCAAAAACTTAACATTTTAGGAGACAATGGTTTTGGCCTGATGGCAGTAATAGTGCTGAGAGGTCAACCCAAACACCAGCCTCAAGGCAATGGAAGGCTGAAAGGGCTGGAAAGGGTGAGACAGCTGGTGCCAAGGTCTGTCCTTGTGAGCCTGGCATGGGGAAGGGTTCAGCGTGCAAACTGTGCCCCTGAGTCCTGTGGCAGTGCAGGTGTCAGGGAGTGCCCGTGAGGTTCAAGGCATCTGCACACAAAGCCTGAGAGATTGGGTTTGCTATTTCTCATGTCTTGGGACTTGCAACTTCTCTTACAGCCAGAGCTGGGCAGGTGGGATCCTGGTTTAACATCTGGTCAACAGCAGCACTTCAGAGAAGGCCTCCAGTCTCCCCCTGCACTGCCAGCCAGCAGCAAACTCCCCATGCTGCTGAAGGGCTCCAGCCTGCTCCCAGCAGGAGCAGTCCCTCCTCCTGACCCACCCATGCCACCAGGACTGCAGCTCCAGAGCTCCTGGAAGCAGGAGAGACTGCTGAAAAAACAAGAATTTGCTTCAGTTTTCCTCTGAGAGATAAGTCCCAGTGGTGAAAAATGCACAGTGTGGCACCAGAGGTTGGGAATTGTCCAAGAGGCACCAAACCTCACAGAGCCTGTCTAGCAGCCCAGGAGCTGTATCTGCAGGAGCTCTGGCCTTGGGGACAGCAGAGTGACCCAGATGTTTTGGGTTAAAGGGATCTCTAATTCTATTTGGGGTGAGCCAGTTACGTGTGAATGTTTTGGGGCCTGTGGCCTTCCCGGCCAGAACAGGTCAGCAATAGAACAAGTAGTGTAATGCACTGTAGGTATCAAAAAGACATTCGTGCCACTAGAGGAAACCATTCCAAACAAAAATGGGAAGATATTCTTTGCACTCAATCAGGAGCACTTACATTCAGAAGGATCTTTGAGCCCATGCACTTCTCTAAGCTTCCTTCAAACCCCAGTTCGACAAAACTGGTGAACTTTGTTCCCCTGAAAAATCATACACCTTGGTTTGTCCTTGGCTTTGGGAAGGGTGGTTTGTCTGCCACTGAGACACTTCTTAACAAAAAACTTTAGGTACAAGGGTTCTCTGGCAGACCTAGCAAGCTCACTGGTAGCCCACAGCCACCTGTGCTGTCACCATTTGCTTTTCCTGATTTCTAGGCTTTGCCACATAAACAACTGCCATGGTTCCCATAAGAATATGATTTAATTGCAAATGGGCTACTCTAGAACAAGTTTGAGAACGCCTGATGTACACAATTCACAGAAAAGCTAATTAACACCAGGAGTTCAGAAAAGAAGTTCTGCTGTAAAAAAATATATAGCCAAGAAACGTAACAACTACTGACAGTTTCTGCCATGAACCATTTCTCTTAGTTTGAAATCAAACTTATGATCACTTGCTGCCATGTTAAACTCAAAACTGAGAGTAGAGACAGAGGAGTAACTTTTGGTTTTTGGCAAAAAAAAAAAAAGGATATGGAAATGTTAAAAATAAAATTAAAAATTAAAAACCTTAAAGCCTCCCTTCCTGATTTCTAAAGATACTGGTGTTGGTGAACACAGCTGCTCTGATTCGTGCACCACGCCAAGAAGGCTGCAGCCAAGTGCCCTCAAGGTGTACAGTTATTCAAAGGAGCAAAGTCCAGTGCAGAACTGGTCTGGTCAATGGAGTCTGATTATCCATGGCAAGATGGCCCAGGGGACAAGAGGAAAGGTGGGGTGGAGGAGAAACAAAAGAAACTTCAAGTCACTTTAGATCTCAGCTGCCTGAAGACTTTAGAACATCAGCCTCCCATTCGTCTGCCCACTTGAAAACATTAGAAAGTCTGTCAAGTCCACACACTATCTATGGAAAGGAGCACGTTCCTGGCAGAGGGCTGTCTCTCTCCCGTGCTCAGCTTTCCTTTCAAACTTAATTTTATATATATTTATATTTTTATATATATATAAAAAAGCACTTGGTTTCCAGGGGCATTCATAATGAGGTCCACAGTGTTTAGAACTTAAATTTCTTTTTCTTTGTTTGGAACAGTGTTTTAAAGTTTTGTTTTAATTAAAAGACAGTCTTAAAGCATGTTGGACTTCAAAAACATGAGTTTGTTCATATCTTCTGGACTGAGTAGCCGCCTCCTTTTGATCAAGAGCGCCTGCTCACACATATTTACACATTCGCTCCTGGCACCCACAGCAGGCACTGCTAAGAGCCAAAAGGCCAGCTTGGCTAGTTTCATATGCTTTTGGGTAACACACGACCAGTACTGAAACAGGTCAGGGGTGGCCTGGAAGAGAGGTTCTTGCAAATAATCATAGACTTCATTTTTCCCAAACCAATCTTCTTCCTGAGCTGCTGTGGCCTCCCCTGCTGCACGAGGCTTCTTGGTTGAAGGTTCAAATTCTGTTTCTTCTGCCCAGGACTCTTTCACCTCATTGATCAGCTCACAGACCTTGCCAATGATCTCTTCGTGCTGGTAGGGTGGGACGGGCCGCAGCTTCTGCTGAGGGTCCAAGATCATGGCTACCTTGTGTGCCGAGTGAACTTTGAAGTTCTCCTTCAGCGCCTCCAAGAAGAGGTGACAGAGTTTGCTGACCACGCCAGCATCGTTGGCTTTGGAAGTGAACAGTTTCTCCAGTTTGACGTAGGTGGGCAGCACCAGCTGCAGCGTGGGCCGGCTCTCGTTGCTCAGCTCGATCACGGCCTGTTTCACCGGCGCCAGGATGGCTGCCAGGTTGCTGAGCAGGTGTTTGTTCAGGTTTTGGATGAGGTTCATCTTCTTGGCCCTGCTGTAGAACTCGCAGATCTGCTCGTAGCGCTCGTGGACGAGCAGCAGGGAGTCGGTGACTGAGTTCCAGCAGGGTGGCGGGGAGGTCTCTTCCAGGGAGCCAAAGGTCTCTTTTGAGAGGCCCGTGGACCCCGCCAGGTCTTCACAGACATTCAGGAGCTCGATCACCTCGTGCATGTTGCGAGCCTGTAGTGTTCTCTTGTTGAGCACGCTCTGCACCACTGAGTTCAAGGCACAGGCCGAGCAGCGCAGGCACATGCCCGCCTTGGAGAACGCCGAGGAGTTGACCTTGCAGTCTGTCACGTACACCGTCCTGATCTCCGACATCACAAACTCCGACAGCACGTTCTGCACCCAGTGGTGGATAAAATCACCGTTGTCTCGAATGTCTATGCCCTTAATGCCCAGGACGTAGCTCTTGATGTGGTTGCCTTCCACCTGGTAGGCGGTGAGGATGTAGCAGGAGTCGTGGCCAACGCTCTGTGAGTGGCAGGTGACCCCGATGCCGAGGCAGGCGTTGCTGCCCAGGGCGCAGGTGACTTTCACCTTCACCTGGTTGTACATCCGAGGCAGGTGCTTCAGAGCCAGGGTGTTGAAGTTGCCCAGGATCTCTGTGACGGAGAAGGCACCGTAGCGAGCCCCGCTATCCACCAGGGTCTGTGCCAGCTTGATGAACTCCTTGCTGCTGACCACGCTGAGTGCCCCGAGGTCGGTGCACATGACCCGCAGCAGCCTCTCGGCGATGTTCTGCCGCTCCTTCTCCGGGATCGCGCTGTTCCCCAGCGAGCCGCTCGCCGACGCTGCAGGAAACACAACGGGCACAGGAAGGACCAGATCAGCATCACCACAGGAGACAGCAGGGCCAAGGCACGAAACAATTCTCAGAGCACCCCAAAGAGGTGGAACATGCCCACAAGATGGAAGAGACAACTCCAATCTTGGATTTGTATCCCCAAGGTTTCTGGACAGAAGAACTTCAAGAGACAGGCCCTGCTCTTGCTCAGAGCAGCAGGGAGCAGATCTGCATCCTGTCCCTGGTGTGGGGATAGTCACAACTCAGCCCAGATGGAAAGATGGACATAAAATCATAGAATCTCAGACTGGTTTGGGTTGGAAAGGACATTAAAGCCCATCCCATCCCATCCCACCCCCTGCCATGGGCAGGGACACTCTCCACTGTCCCAGGTTGCTCCAAGCCCTGTTCAACCTGACCTGGGACACTTCCACGGATCCAGGGGCAGCTACAGCTGCTCTGGGCACCCTGTGCCTATGTCACACCACAGTAACTGGTTTAGTTTTTTAACTCCAGGCCAGGAAGTCGGACCTCGGGTCAGAAGTTACTTTTTTCAAGGGGTTTACAAATGCATCTTCCTCACAAACCTTTCCAACCACCCCAGGGTTCTTTGTTGCACTCCTGTAGTGGGAAGGGGTGCTCTGCTCTGCTAGGTAGGACATGAATGAAGGATGAAATCAAACACAGTTTGGTGAGGACAAGGGCCTTGTGCAGTGTCCATCACTGCTGCACCCCTGAGGCACCTGTTGGACAGGAACACAGTGTACGTACTGTTGTTGGCGTTATTTCTTTGGAGCTGTGGTTTCCACTTTTCTTCAACCACAGGGAGAGGTGATCTGCGCTGGCTGGAGGCAATGTTGTTCTCATTGTCAGCTGTGAGGCAAGAGACGGGGAGGGGGTTAAAAGAACAAAATAAAGCTTAAAGCACAAAAAAGTGGAAACTGCTCAGCATTTATGTAGGGTTCCTCTAACTAAGGGGACAACAACCTACCACGCTCTCTGTGGCTTTTAGGCAGTTTTCAGTGAGCTGGCACAGCACCCTCAGGGGACCATGAAACTGTCTTTGGAGTCACAACCTATCACTTCCCAAAATGTCCCTGATATGTGCCATATGTCTTTCTGTGCACCAGGGACACTGATGCCATCTGTGCACCCTGAGGAATCTCCTGAGGAGCTGAAGCTGCACACCAGGAGGAATGGAGGCTCCCCCTGACTTGGGCCATTCATTTCCTTCCAAAATGAGGGGGAACAGACACTGATCCTTCTGCTCCCTCCCTGCCACTTCCTGCACTGCAGGTGGTTTCTCTGCTCTCTCAGGGAAGCACTTTGGTTTTCAAGCTGTGCTCAGCTCCTCTGGATCTAAGAGGCTCGTTGCAAACTTCAGGTCTGGTTTCTTCCCTGTGAAGAGCAAGGGCCTATCTCCGCTGGAGCTGCTGCCTCAGGCTGCAAACACAAAGCCAAAGTTTCTGGAGTGTGGACCAAAGACCATTCCACCCTGAGGCTGCAGACACCAAGTGTCCCCAAAGTCTTTGTGTTCATGCTCCCATTTCTGCGTATGTAACTGGGCTAAACGTTTTGGCTGCCAGTATGATGGGATCTCACAAAAATATGCAAGAAATCAGTAAAATTTGTATTGTATCCATGTTTTCATCTCCTGTGCCCCAAGAATTCCTCCCCACCCTCCAGAGGAAATTTTCCAGTTCTTAGTATGCTTCAGTATGAAAGGGTGCTGTGAAACAGGCTGTGAAGGAACAGTGCACAATGAAATGGGCTGGAGGAAGAAGCAGAAAGATGGAGACAGTGATGACCAGGCTGAGCAGAAGGATAGAAATAAAACCAAGGAAAACAACAGGCCATTTTGCTCATCACAGCTGGACTCAACACACTTAATCCTGGATACCTGTCAGCCACACCTCTCTGAAGTGGCCTGTTAGGGCTCCTTTTACACTCAGGTGTGCCACTTATTCACCCAGGCAGAACTGGATCCTCTCCTAGAGTAAGAACCACCAGAAGTCACAGACTCTGCAGTGATTTTACAGGGAGTGCAGACTGGCCAGCTCAGGTGGCAACCCCTGCAGCCTGGGGACACCAGCACAGAGTGCAGTGACCCTGCCCTGTGCTCTGGGCAGAGGAGCAGAGTTGGAGCAGTGCCTTTGGAGTTGGAGCAGTACAGCTAGAGCTCTGCCAGGCTGCTCTGGGGCACCAGCAGGACACACAGGACAGGGCAGAGCTGCTGTCCTCCACTGTGCCAGCAACCTGGGAGAGCAGGCAGACCAGCAGGAGCGTGATGGAGCTCCAGTGCTCTCTTCCTTACTGATGCCTTAAGATTTAAGTTTTTCTACTCTGCTTGGGTGTGCTTTTCTGATGTGCTGGGGTGATGGAGACCAAACAGTCCTATTCCAGTTGAGAACTCAAGGACAATTTCTTCAAAATTCAGGCCCTAAGCATAAACAATGTGAAAAGAGGAGGGCGGGTTCATGCAAATGAATCAAAACCTATAAAAATGTGAGATCTTGTGACCAAGCTCTCCTTTGCTTCCATCTTGGAGCCATCCAGGCAGGGGCCATGACTGTGGCACTCATATTGCTAGGGTGTGGCTTTTGTAGGCCTCTCAATAAATACCCATTTTATTCCCCTTAACTCTGTGTGTAGCCTCTGTTCGAGCTCCTTTAGGCATCATTACAAGTCGTCTCCAGTGTGAGCAGCTCTGCCCTTCACTGCTGGCACTGCAGACCTGCCCATCAACAGGCACAGGCTGCTCAGTCCCCTGTGGGCCCTGCACTGGCACAGGCTGGAGCAATACCTCAGAACAATCCAGGACACGACCCAGGACAGCCTTTGGCACTGCCTGGGGAGCTCCCTGGCCATGCTGGGGGCCCAGGGAGTGCTGCCATGCTCAGGCTGCAGCCACAGGTTGGTCTTCGCAGGGGTGAAGAGCTGTGAGGAGCACGAGGTTCCTCAGAGAGCACCAGTGGCCAGGTGTGACACATCACCTTTCCCCCAGCATCTGCCAGACTAATTGTTCTTGAGCCAATGTCACCAGTGTTCTCAACTCCAAACATCTGTGGTTGGGCAAAGGAAAATGCTGGATGTTGCCTACTAACTTTGCTCATGGTTCAGGCACTCCTTGTCTTGGTGAGGGATGGGTAGGGGGAGAAACCCTCTGTATTTCCTCACCATAACTCTTTTATCTATTTCCTAATAATAGGGGATTTATTATATACAAATATCTGCTGGCATTCAGTGTGGCATTAATGAGATTTGTACATTTCAGCCTCATCTTCCTTATCAGGCAGTCTATGAACTACACAGATCATGGTTCTTAATTTTTCTTCATGCCTCCAATCCTTTAATCCAGGTTCAGCCTACTCTTCCTTTTGTTTTTTTAGGCCTAGATTGTAGGAAGGGCATTATATGGCAGCACTCGACCTGAACAAAGTACTCTAAAGAGAGTCAAAGCTGTATATTGTTCAGTGTAATTACAGAACAAATTCCTCTGCCTGGTGTTCTGCCTTTCAGCACCAAATTTACATTCTAATTGCTTCTTCTCACTGTGTAGCTGCTTTATGAAGCTATAATCTCTCCTTATTACCTTCCAGCCTCTGGGCTCAGTGTTCTGAATGTCTCAAGAGCCAGCATGTCCCTGATTTTGCTTCTGGAGGCTAGCAGCATGTTCCCTGGCTTCTGTCCCTGTGAGAAGGGTCCAGGGGAGGCAGCACAGCCACTGGGAGAGATCAGCCTCTTGCATTAGACAGGACAAACCAAACTGGGCTGCTGAACACATGAACTGAGGGAGCATTTGACCCATACAGGCTCTCTGCATCCCCATAATGAAACATTCCCTGACCAGGGACAAACCACTGCCATGACTGTGTCCCCAGTCTGTGCACCCTCTGCCACCAGTTCTGCTGACCACTGCAAGGTCCCTGCACTCCTAGGCTTCAGAGATGTTGGGGCAATGCTGTTTCTTAGATATGGAAATTTCAGAATCACAGATTTGTTTAGGTTGGAAAAGACCTCTAAGGTCATCCAGTCCAACCATCAGCCCAGCCCAGCACCACATCCACCACTAAGCCATGTCCCCAAGTGCCACACCCAGGTGTTCTTTGAGCACTTCCAGGGATGGTGACTCCACCCCTGCCTTGGGCTCAGGGTGCTTGAGAAGCCTTCAAATCTAAACCTCCCATGGAATAGCTTGAGGCCGTTTCCTCTCACCCTTGTCATTTGTTCCCTGGGAAAAGAGACCGACCCTCACCTCACTGCAACCTCCTGTCAGCCTAAAGGCAACCAAGTGCTGCCAGGGCAACTGCAGGCCCTGTGTGCCTTCTGTGCTGTCTGTTGGCACAAAACACCCAGGGCTGGACACCCACCAACGCTGGCCACAGTTTTTCCTGTCTCTGTGTTGGTTTTGCCCTCATCCCACAGCGGCAAACGCTGCTCCTCGCCCCAGCTGCACACGGGTAGGGAGGGAGGGGAGAGCTGTGAGCACAGGGCTGCCAGGCACCACACCCAGAGAGGCCACAGCAGGGGACAATGGCTTTCACAGGGCACAGCCTTGGTGGCACCTGCAGAAAGCAGCTAAAGAAGACACGGACACCCTCGCTGTCACTGCACCAGTGAGGCTTCAGGAGGAGGCGGCCAGAAAGAAGGGACTTGCAAACAGAGCAGGGAGCAATGAGAAAACAGTTACCAAGAGCAATCCTGAGCTGGGCAGAAGGGATTTACCCATTCAGAGCTCTGATGTGACAGAAGCCCAATCGCAGGTACTGCTCCCTGCAGCCTTGTTCTGTGGCCAAAGTAACCCAGGTGAACAACCACAGGACCACTGATTGGTTTGGGTTGGAAGGGACCTTAAAGCTCATCCAGTCCCACCCCTGTCATGGCAGGGACACCTTCCACTATCCCAGGCTGCTCCAAGCCTCATCCAACCTGGCCTGGGACACTTCCAGGGATGGGGCAGCCACAGCTTCTCTGGGCACCCTGTGCCAGGGCCTCACCCCCCTCACAGGGAGCCCTCAGCACCACCACCATGAGCCACTTGTAAAGAAGAATCAAGGGAGAAGCTGCAGGTAGCACTAGCTTAAAACTTGAAACAGCTCAACCCTGCCAGTGAGCTGCCCTTGTCCCCCAGCTCCTGTGCTCAGTGTCACCCAGAGCTGTAACTCAAAATGCTGCATTTCAGTACCAGAGCCCACAGCAAGAACAGGATGCTCAGGACACAGCGTGGAGGCAGCAGAAACTGCCACAGACAAGCAGCAAGGACAGAGCCAAGGGCAGGGAGTGAGGGCAGCCCTGCCCAGAGCAGAGCTCCACTGATCCTCGGGTAACAGAGTCCCATTACTCCACAGGAAGCTCCAAGAGAAACAAACTCACAAACTCACACCTGCTGACAAAGTGCTGTCAAAGTCTCTTTGTAACATTACACAGATGATGAGTAAAGTAGCTGCTGAACAACACAGAGCCTGCACTAAGATTTGCCAACAGGAACTGAAATGAAACAGAGGAACCTCATGGATGAAGAACTCAAGTGACACTATCAGAAGTAGGACTAAAACTAAAATAGAGAGCAAGATAAGAACTTTGATTAACATTATTGTTACAGAAAGGAAAATATGCTTTTCTTCAAGCCTCTTGTCCTCCCGTGCCACTTTCCTCAGGGCCTGCACTGCATCTGCATATGTTGAATGCTGTCTTTGAAACAGGTTTGGCTTTGAAATTTTAAAATCATCTCTTATGTATCAAGATGGGAAATGAAAACAGTAACTTAGAAACAAAGCACTGGAATGACTCCTAAGAATTCTCATTTGTAGGTAGCTGAGAGGGAACTGAACACAGCTGCTGAAATGGCAAATTCATCTTCTGAGAACACATTTCAGCCCTTTGCAGAACTCCAGGAGACACAGCCAAAGGATGAGACTTGTGTGGGCAAAGGCTCTGCTGCCCTGCGAATGTTTTTGATTTGTTTGCTTCCATGAGAGCCACCCCTTTGGCACGAGGTGGGATTGAACCTGCTGTAGGAGTTTATGCAATGAGGATTGTCTGGATAGCTCTGGATAAAGGCAATGAGCAGTGTGATGGACTCTGAGCTAGCATGGCACATTCCCCCTCTCCCTATGGAAAGGAGCAATATTCACAATATACCCTGGGCCTATGTGCTCCAGCCTTGGAGGGATGATTGTGTTTGTTGCACGTGAAATGACTGGGGCTGTGGGAATGGGGAGCACTGAGAACCCTACAGACACACATTGGGGTCAGCACCAGGCAGCAGCACAGAATTTAATTCTCTGCTTGCAGCGAGTCAAAGTGCCCAGCTTACCTGCATGGGACTGCATGTGCTCCAGGAGATTGTTATAAAACTGGAACTGGATTCCACAAGCTCCACAGGTGTAAGGCTCTGTTTGGGAGAAATCAGTTCAGAAGAATTACACAGAGTCTGCAGGGAAGCAGCACAGGTGCATACCTCAGTGTGTACAGCCGTGGGCAGGGCTCTGCCTCCTGGGCTGGGGCTGGGCACGTCCTCCTGCTGCACTTCATGGCCACGGACAGGCAGAGCACTAAGGGACCTGCTGTCCTCACGTGTGTGGGCATCTCAGGGACCTGCACAAGGGTTTCTTTGGGAGGCTGCCCACTGGCCAGGGCCTGCTGGCCCAGGCTGCTGCAGCCTGCCTTGAGTGTATCCCTGCTATTTTTGTGCCTGTGAGTAAAGCCTGGTGGATTCATTTCTTCCATCCAGTTCTGTCAAATTGCTGCCTTTCCTGAGTGAGACAAGGAGCACTGGGTTGTGACAAATGCTGTAGTTGGAGGCTGGGGGTGGAGCAGTGCCATGGGGGAACTCAGCTGGGGCTTTGTGGCCGTCACCAAGTGCAGTGAGACCAGGGACCGGTGAGTGCCACAGGGCTGGGTGGCAGCAGGATGCCAGGGAAGCAGAGGTGGAGGGCAGGAAGCACAGGAATCAGGGCTGTGCCTGAAGGCTGAGAGCAGAGCAGGAGAGCCATGTGCCAGAGCAATATGGATGAGCTGGAGTGAGGAAAGAGCTGGGTGCAGAGCTCCCTTGTGAGCTGAAAGATACATTTAGCCCTGTTCTGTGTTGAAAGTGCATTTTCTTCCACTGAATTAACCTAAAAGCAAATGTTTGCAGTTGCCTGTTTAAAAAGTATCAGTAGAGTGCATTGGTTGACAGATGTGATCTCAAACTACAGTGCTGAAATGTGGGAACATTGCAGTTTGCCTCTGTCCCTGCAGCCACACCAGCACTGCCACCTCTCACTGGGGCATTTTGTCCTGGAGCAGCAGAATGGATAAACACGTTTGGCATATGAACAATTTTGGATACAAATGCCTGGCACACACAAGGAGTAGGGTCTATTGCTATAGTATTTGAGAAGTCTAGATCTAATTTCAAAGGGAAAAACATATTCTGTACCAATGAATAAGCAGAATCACCAGCACCCAGGACAGAAGAACCAAAACCCAGGGAAGCACAAGGTTGCCTATACTCTCTGAGAAATCTATCTCAGGGAGCAAGCCCCAGAATCCACATCAAGGCTACAGGAATCCATGAGGAAAAACTTGAAAGAGAGCATGAGCAAGTCTGTATAAGCTGTACTTTTATGTTGTGAGGTTAAACCTTTCCCACAGAACCTACAGCCTGTGAAATGATGGAGCCAGCTCTGTTTGGAGCTGTGCTCAATGCTTTAACTCACTGTGTCTGCTTGTGATGCTGTTCCAGGGCTTTGCTGCAGCATAGAAATTTGGAAATTTGGTGACTTAAAAGGAAAAAATCACTTAAGTAACTGCTTGTGGAGAAAAGAGAAGACTTGGACAGCTGAGTGGTACATAGGGATTTCAGTCCTTGGGAATTAATAGGGACAGGCTGTGTGCTGAAATCATCAGAAATGAGGAAGCTGTGGTACAATGCCACAAGAGGTACAATGCAATCTAATTTTTAGACTTATTTTTAATTGTCAGAGAGAAGGCTCCTGTGGGTGCAAACCACTCCCTTGGGCTCACATTTCAGTGCCAATGACCTGTGTTACAGTTACACCTGTGCCTCTGCTGCTCTTGGAGCCCAGACTGCTCAGATGGAAGCATCTCAAACTGAGGGGGCCTGACTGCCCCTTCAAACATCAAAATTAACGTGTGAAGAGTCTAATGAAAGCAGTCACACTTGTGAGAGCCTGCTGAGTGCTGCTGACAGGCCCCTGGCAGGTTAGAGGAGCTGTGACCGCCCCCCTCTGCCCCTCTGCTCTGCTGGAGCCCCTGCCCCTCCAGCAGAGGGGAGAACAGAGCCTGCTGTACCTCTCACTGCTGCCAGCTGCAGATGTCACAGCCCCTGGACACTGGCAGCTCTCGTGTGCCTTTCACACCTCAGCAGACAGACAGACAGACAGACAGCTGCATTCCCTTCTGCCACCTCTGCCTGCAGTGCAGAGGAAGAGACAGTGAGGGAACCCCTGCTCAGCACTGCAGTCCCAGGCCCTTCTGTGTCCCCACACAAGCCCCCAGCTGCCCTGGAGCAGGCTTCCAGCACAGCCCTTCCCCGAGCACAGCCACAGCCTCAGCAGCAGGCAAACCCCTCACATCAGCCAGGCTGCAAGTTTCCCACACTCATCTGGCTCTCCTGTTTCACTCACATTTCCTTCTCAGCTCACTTTGTCTCCTTCCTGCTGTATTCTCAGTTATTTTATCAGCACAAACCTGTGCTATTTTTCTAGCTCTCCACTCAGAAAAATTGTGTTGATTTTCATCTCAACTCCAAAAGATGCCCCTTCTGTTCTACCCCAGAAATGTCCAACTTTGGAAATAAAACTACCACCTACTTTCAAAAGCTAATTTCACGTTCTGAAAATGTCAAAGCATTTTCTAAGTAATTCTGAGACATAGAACATACAGAAGTCTAAGTTTACCACAAATAAAAACGTGCCACATTAAAAATAAGCAAGAAATTTAAATTCACCCAACAATTCCAAAGTCTTTCCCAGAACCAGAGGAAGGGATGCTTGGGAGGATGTGCAGAATCCCCATGGGAAGGAACTAACTCAATTGATTTCCCTGAGCTCTCTCAACCCTCATCCTTCTGATTTTTCAGCTCCTGAGCCCCTCATGCTCCAGATGCAGAGCTGGGAGCAGCCAGGCTGGCTGGAAGGAAGGTGGGATGTGCCAGGGCTAGAAGAGGAAGAGGGATCTGGAAGGTGGAGAGAAGAAAGAGGCAATCAGTATGCCAAACCAGGGAAAAATCACTGCTGGAAAAGAACTGTTCACTTGGGCTGGCAATCCAGTAAATCCTTCTCCCTTGGATTTCTCTTGCAACTTAAACTGGAAAAGTTGTCAAAACTGCTCTGCACATGCATCAGAGCCACATTCTCCTTCCCAGGAGCACAGGCCCCCATCACTGCAGAACCTCTGCTTGTCCTTACCCTGGGAATTTCAGCTCTTCCTTACTCAGGCTTAGCTTTATGCATCCACAGGGATCTGCTCTCCTTCAGGTGGGCTGAACTCAGCAAAGGCCCCCCAGGTGTCCCCTTTTGCCCTATCCTTCTGCTCCCAGCTGCTGCTGGTACAAGGGAAGCTGGACCCTTCTGTGCTGCCCACAGGAGCCTCCTGTGCTCACTGAGTTTTCTGAGAGCAGGTTTCAGCCAGCAGCTGTTGAAACCTCTTCAGTGTCCTGAGCCACACAGAACCAATGCTCACATCTGGTTGCACAATTTAAAACATCTTTCCCCAAGGCTATAATTAGACACTTTTATTAGTACTTTACCCAGTGAGCAAGGCCTCAGAGCAAGGCAGCAGCTGTGTGAGCCAAGGCAGGGGAAAACCAGTGCCTGTGCTTAGGTTAAATAAATCACTCTAATTCCCGTGTTAACTCTCATTGTCATATCTAAGCCAGAGAAAATAGCAGTCTGGTCTGAAGCCAGGAGTTGAGAGCTATAACAGAAAGTTTCACCAGCGAGCACCCTGAGGTGCTTGTGCAGTGACAGACACCAGCAGGGTGTCACCATGGCTCAGCAGGGATAGGCCCTAGGCTGCTCTTTCCTCAGCAGAAAAGACTTTTCAACACTTCTGTCCACATCTTGGTGAAAAATAAATGCAGAACAACTGTGAGGAAAACTTCTCAGCATTTCCACCCAATATTTCCACTGGCTTTAGCTTTACTAACAGCATAATTGCACCTTTCCTTTGACACAAACCCATGAGACGAGGCAGGAGAACCAGCAGCAGGCTCCTACGAAAAACACCAGCACACCCCAAATCAGTGGAAGTTTCTTGAAAACAGAACTTCTGTCACTTCCAGCCAGCTCAGACAATAAGAGGTGCTCTGGAGCATGCTTGGAAAAGGGGAGTCCCAAATTCACCACCCTTGTCAAACATCTTGGCATTAACTGGATTTCCCTGTGACATGTTCCCCCGTGAACTTGTGTTCTGAATAAAGCCCTTGCTTCTCTCTCATGTTTTTAAGAGGAGGAAGAACTCATGTCCTCCCCTCCTGTGGCCATGCTCAGGGCTGGCCTGCATCACCAGGCTGGCACAGATGGTATCACCCCCAAAATCCCAGTGCCAGGAACTAAACACACTGCAAGGCAAAGGAAGAAGTTCCACCTGCTGAAAGCATCAAGTCCACAGGGGAGAATCTCCAGCAGAGACCACCTGTCCACCCATGCCAGACCTGCTGTCTGTCCCCCCCTGCCAGCTCCCTGGCTCCAATCCGTGCTCCCAGGCCACAGGGAAGTGGCTCTGTGCAGGTGTTTACTGAGCTGAGCCCTCAAGACAAGTTTTTCTGGGTGTAAATATAACTTATATACGGGTTCATTTTCAAGTCTTGGTCTCAGAACACGCTTACAAAAAACTCCCTGAAGACTGAATATGAAGTGATTTGGCAGCCCCAGACTGCACAGAAACACCCTGGAGGATTTCTGTTGCGTTTAAATCTGACACAGAGCCACAGAAGTGAGGCATTTTACTCTTTGACACCTGGACTCATCATAAAAAAGCATTTATTGATGAAAATTGCTCAGAGGGCAGGGCAGCAGGGCTGCAGGAAGGCAGTCCCTGCCTTTTGCACCACAGACATCCATCACACTTACTTTGTAAAAGCGGGAAAGGATTTGAAATCAGGGGACTTGCGGTTTCTGCAAAAAAGAAAGAGATTTAAATATTGAGACTGGCAGAGACCTTGCTGCATTCGACACAGCTCTGCCTATCTGCTCCCTGCTCCCTACTCTGCACTTCCAGAGTTATCCAGGGCAGGGCAGGATGGGAGCTCCATCTACCACAAAATCCAACAAGTCCAACATGTCCATTTTCTCTCCGTTGCTCAATTTCTCGTGGCCAGGGTTCTACATCTTTCCTGTTCAATTTAAAATGTCCAGAGATTTTAATGCATACCCAATGCTACAG